GGAGGCGGTTATGTTCATCCGCATCAAATATCTTTTCAACGCACCCACATATTCTGGAGTTAAAAAAAAAAAAAAAAAAACCACCACATATTAAAAACAACAAAAATTATAATAACCCCGAAGTTTTTAACAAAAAAAAATAAATACCGGGTCTACACAATTTTTCCCCATTGCCCCCATTCCCGAGGGGGGGCACACAAGGTGGGAAGAAGGGGAATATCGCGGCGAGGCCCTCTGTTTCCTTTATTACGCCCACAAAGCGAAAAGGGGGGTTTTTTATTCACAGGGGGTCTTAAATTGTCGGTAACCCCCACAGGTTTTTCCCCAACCCCCGAACCATTGTAAAAACCGCCGGCCCAAGGAAGCCCGCGTTAATCCAACTCCCCATTAAGGGCGGAATGGGGTACCCGGGCCCCCCCCCCGGAGGTTGACCGGGTATCGTTAAGCTTTATAATAAACCAGGGTATACCCCCTTTTTAATAGTATAAATTCTTTTATAATAATATCCTAGTAAAATTTATAAGAAAAATTCCTTTTATATTTAACCTATAGATTAAAACTAGAAGCTTTTTAACTATTTCTATAAGGTAAAAAATTTAAAAAAAGTATTTTTTATAGCAGGATTAAATAAAAGAACTATATAATAAATTTATAATTCCAGCTTTAAATTTATATAATAAAGAATAATTAAATATAATAAATTAAAAAAAAATTAAAAGACTAATTCTTTAAGAAGGAGATATAATTTACCTACTTTAATATACTTAAAATAATAAATAAGTAAATATTAAAATAAATAGGCTAAGTAATAAGCTTAATTTTAAAAAAACTTAAACCTTATAAGGTTTTAAAGTAAATTAAAGAAGTTAATTATAAACTTAATCTTTTAGTATAAGAAAAATAATAAGAATAATTAATATACTTAATTTTTTATATATTACTATTTAAAAAAGTAATAGTTAATCTAGATATAAGTAAAATTATTTATAATAAAATTATAATAAAAGGTAAAGAACTTAAATATAAAGTTAAATAAATACTTTAAATTAAATTTAATAAAAATACTTAATAGCTAAAATACTTTATAAAATAAAAAAATTATAATAATACTAATAATATATAAGAATTTATTAAAAATCTTAAACACTTAAAGACCTTAGTTAATAAGTTTTATTAATAGTTAAACTTATAAAAGTTAATAGTAAAGGATTTAATAAAAACTAATCCTAATTAATAAAGTTAATAAAAGAAACTAAAATATTAAAATTAGTTAGGTTAAGTATAATTATTTCTACTTAATAAGCAGCTGCTACTGCTTTATACTTTACCTTTTTTATATATTCTAACTCTTTTAAATTATTAATCTTATAAGTAATAGCCTTTTATATTTTTTTAGCCTATTCCTTTTTTTATATATAAAGATATTTAATATATACACCTGCTTTAAGCTAGGCTTTTTTAGCCTGCTTTAGCTTAAAATTAAAATTAGTACTTTTATTAGCTATATAATAAAATTAAAATATAAATAAATTAAAAGCCTTATAGCTAGGCTACTAAAAATAAATATAGCTTAAATAATAAAAAGAATTAGCTTTTAATATAAAATACTAGTAACTATATTTCTTATAGTATTAGCAGGGTTTTATAATTAATAGCTTAAGTAAAATTAACTGCTTTAAGGCATACTGCTAAAGTACTTAAAAAAACTTAAAATATTTATACTTACTGCTAACTATTTTAGTTAATATATAAAGAAAAGGATATATAAATAAAGAATACTTATAAAAAAGTAAGGGAATTATAGGTTTTAATAATATAAATAAGGTCTTAAAAATAAAACTAATAAAAAGGGGATATTATATTATAACCTAGCCTTATAATTATAATAATAAGCTACCTTTAATAAGCAGTACTAAATAAATATTAAACTATTTAGCTAATTAAAAGCTACTTAATAAAATTAACTATTAAGTATATTAAAAATAACTTAATAAACTTAATAATTAAGTATATTAAGGATATTAAAATAACTAAATATATAAGTTATATTTATATTACTTATTTAAATAGTTTAAATAGCTAGTTATTATTACTTAATAGTATTTATAATATAAATAAATTAAAATCTAGATATTTATTATATAAGTATATTAACTAGCTATATAACTATATATGCCTTAAGTATTAACTTAACTCTTTATTAATATAAACCTAAATAGCCCTCTTATTAAAGCTATTTACTTAAATAGTTTATTCCTTAGGAAATAGTATTCTTACTAACTATAAGAACCTGGTTTATTATATAGAAGTTATATAATAAAGGGTTAAGATATTAATAGACCTTTATGCCTATATAATAGAATTTATAATATATTACTAAAACTAAGTTTAAAAGCTATAATATACTTTTATAACTAGGTTTTTTTATATTAAGATAGTATTAAATTTATAATATATTAGTAATTTATTATAAATATATTACTAATATATTATACTTATATTATTTTAAGGCTATTATTATTAAGCTTTAGTAAGCTAATTTAAAAATATTAAATAAGCTATGCCTAATTTTAATATAATTAGCCACTTAGGTATATATATTAAGTATATAATCTTATTTACTATAATAGTATTAACTTATTAACTATAGTAATTAAACTAAACTAGATTAAATAATAATAAAATATAGTTTAATACCTTTATTTTACTAAGTAGCTTTAAAAAGCTATTAGGTTATTAAGATTCTTATATAATATATTAGTAATTTATTACTAATAAATAGTAAATATATTTTACTTATATAATAGCTTTTTCTTATTATTATTATAATAAAAAGCCTTAAAAGCTAAATATTAAGTAAAATTTTAAACTTATTATTATTAAAAAAAGGACTAGCAGAAGCTTAAGATAAATTTATTATAAATATATTTATAATATATTTATAATAAACTTATAGGATTTTATAAAGGATATATTTATTTTAGCTTTAGTATTATATTAAAGAGGTATTTAATTTTAGTATAAAAGCTAATATAACTTATGCTTTACTTTTTAAAAATTTTAGCTAATTAAATTATAAGAAGTATAGGTTATATAAGGTTTTTTAATATAGTAAAAAATTTAGAAAAGTGGAGCATGGGTTATGTCAGACCAGGGTGCATAGGTTATCTGAGGTAGCACCTCATGTACTACCTCCTACCACTACTAATCGCAGGTAGGTACCTAACTTCAAGGGCGCCTCTTCTCTCTTAACGTACTGTTACGGCTGCTGGATTTATCCTGCTCAGCTTCGCCACGCCACAGGGCAAGGAGGAGAAGAAAAAGCAAAGAGGAGACGAGACTGACGCGGCAGACCAGCAGCGGATATAGTCAGTCTTGCCTGCTGTTAGCAGCGGCATGGTGGTCAGGTCAGGTAGGTCCTTGGGCGAGGGGTGAGACTGGAATCCCGCTGACTTGACTGCTTCGTGCCCTCGTACAGTACGGCTACCGCATAACATCCAAGGTCTTGTGGTTCAAGGGGAAGATCTCCGGGCGCTTCTGCTAGGCCGCTTTGGTCGTCGGCAACGACTGTGATTCGACAGCCACGTACGAAGCACGAAGCGCTGTGCCCACCTGATTGGCCGGGGCTCCCAGGTTCGGGTGCTAAGGGCGGCTTGGGAGAGCACAGGAGAAGTGGCATGGACGAGAGCGACACCCATCAACCCATCCACGGCATCGCGCGAACTGGTCCCAGAGGCTTGGGATGGCCGAGCGTCCCTAGCTCGCTGACAAGTCACCGGTGCATGGAGCGAGATGGAGATGCTGGGACGCGACAGGCGGCGTGGTTGGACCGGGCCCTGTTAAGCTTCGTCCCGGTCGGTGATTCAGGTCATTAGCCTCGGCCTCGAGCTCCCAAAAACCCAGAAAACAGGTCACGATGGATAGTCTTGTTGTTGCTCTCTTCCCACTCGGCTGGCACTTACCGTTCGCGTGGTTTTGCGTGTGCCATCGGCTACAAGTACGACAGGTACATACGAGTACGGCGAGGGGGTTGGATCCCAAAAACCGGAGAATGACGCGATACCCTCGCCTTGTCCCAGAGCTTCATGCTGGCCCGGCCATGGATTCCAAGAGCGGAGCCAAAAGGGACAACACACATGTGGCGGTCGAGAGAATCCAGCGGCGCTATTGCGAGTCCCTGCTCGGCGCTGAATTCAGGCGACGTTGAATACGGACAGACGTGCAGAACAGGAGATGCGGTGAAATTGCAGCTTCACCTGGCTGATGCTCTTGAAATGATGGACCAGATCAAGAAGCTACCCAAGCAATATTACCTAGGCGACGGAGTCTGTCCAGCGTTTCTTGACGCGCAAATCGCTGCCACTTTCGTCCAACGAAGATCTGGGGTGGCTTGCACATGGAGCTGGGGGGGAGGCTCGTCAGTAAGCATCACGATCTGGCATGTCGCACGAAATTCTGAAAGTGTTACAGGGCACAACTGCTGAGGTGGATAGACATACTAAACGCCCTCATAAACTCGGCCTCCATGTCCGCAGACGCCAGACCTCGGCCAGCTTTCCAATTAACCTTCTCTCAGCTCCCCCGTTCTGCCGCTTCTAAAACATCACAGCGATCCAAACACAACCCATCTGGATGACTTCCATATGCTCGATGCACGATACAGCGTCTAACAGCGCTTCTCGCCGCCGCTCCCGCCCAACACAATCCAATCGTGATGCGATGGAGTCTCCACGATCTGGCACGTTCTCGGGATGCATTGATGCGCGCGCATCAGCTCTGCGGATACCACCTTGGGTCCTCGGTTTCAGCGAAAGGATCTCCGACCCCAGACAGCTCTGGGTTCAGGTCTTCCAACGCCACTGCTTTGCCTCAGATTGACATCGAGCTCTGGCAGCACTTACTGCCAAACCTGCCCCGCGATGGAACCGTAGCAACAGCCGCCGGCCTCATGACGGGAACAGACGCCGTACGAAGCAGCCTTGATAACGCTCCCGCCGTCCTTCTGATTGACTGACCTCTGCTCGATAACCCCCCAAGGCGTCCTGGTCAGTTTTTGATAGGCCAAGCATGAGCGCGCTTGTTCTAAGGCGCCAGCACAGCGCCGGCCTGCTTTCATCCAGCCTCTCTGCGGGAAGTACTGCAGACTATTTGCTGCGGCCATCTCATGCGGCCAGCCGACGCTTGAGAAGCAAAGGACTTTCGTTGGGTGGCAGCCAGGGCTTTTCTACCCAGACGTACTTGTAAGCAGCGTCTCGACAGCTCGAAGCATCCACCACCGCTTCTCACCCCAGCCTAAGCGCCGCCGCTCTGCATACCTGCATGCATGCGTGAAAAGGGAAGGGAAGAGTGAGCCGCCAGATCCTTCTCGCGCTTCATTGGCTTCGTACGCTAACGAGCAGTAGGCGCATCCGAGGCCCAGCGACCCGACGATGTTGAAGTTGTTCAATGTGCTCACATCATACCTCATGCTTGAGAGGCGTGAGAAGCATGGTAAACATGATAACCCGCGACTCCTGGCTCTAGTGTGGCGGCGGGATGCGGTTCGACTCTTCGCTGTCCACTCTGAACGCTCTTCAAGTCGGGCAAATGTCGCAGAAACCATGTCGGCCTTTGACTTGGAGACTGTCGTTGGTCCTCAACATGTCCAACCAACATGCATCGCAAGCGGCTCCGCCAAATCACCGCTTTGATGCCGCATGCAGCAAAGTCGACTTCGTGTGGATCTGCAATTACTACCTATAACACGAAGCATCCCGGCATCTTGCGGCTCTGCTTGCTCCCATGCACGTTCAATGCGTTCGGCCTTTGTCCTTGGTCTTGGGCACCGCTGCGTTGCTCGTCTTTGCCATGAGACCGTGCATGCACTTGGCTCTACATTCTCAAATGAGGATGCAAGCCGCCATCCTCCTCGTCCATTCTCAGAAGAGCGGGCATCGATGTCATTCGCTCGGCGACGCCCCCCCTTTATCGACTTCCATTCCTTCCCGCCATACTCGATCCTCTAGCTGATGGCCACGACATCATGCCAATATCTATCCTGGCCTAGGCGGGACAATGGTGTGCCTAAGCCTCCGTAACACCCGCCGCAGACATGAGGGGGCGCCTCTACGTTCACTTACTACTACGTCTTCGGCTTCGGGCTCCTTCTTTCATGTCCACTGCACCTCGGCGTGAGGGACTGCGTACGACTACGCTTGGGTGTTGTAACGCCTTCGAGCCATGCCTAAAGAACGTGCTGTCGTACGGCTTCGTTGAACACATGCTAGGAGTTGAGCGTCCTCCTTGTACTGAATCCTCTCTATTCTTCCTGGCCCTTTTTTCAAGCATGTTATCCAAGCTTCGAAGGGTCAGGGCAGTGAGCTGTACATAGCCGGGCAGCTTCCGAAAGAACGAACCCGCCCCCAACTTGATCTATTTGCCACCCTCAAAGACCTCCCTGTTAGTGACGGCGGCGCCAGAAACAGTTGAGATACCGGGCATATACTAGGCTTTGGCAAGGTGTTCGACCCTTGCAGTAAGTAGGCACTCTATACTGTCGATCTAACGATGTCGGTGAATCGTCTGCACCAACGAGGCGAGGCCATTGACCTTCCAGGCACTTCCCAGACTTTCTTACTCGATTCACCCTCCTGTCTGTTTCGCCCCGCCAATTCTCTGCGGTCTTATCCAGCCGCGACTATTTGGCCATTGGGCAATTGCCATGGCATAGCAGGGTGACGTGATACCATGGCAGACTGGGACTTGATGGAGCATCACCTTGCAGGCTGCACATGCGAAGGCTTCTCAGAAGGGCTGTTGGTTCTCAGAGAAGATGAGAGCTTCAAGTATAAGCAAGGGTGGATTTCCCGTCGTCTTCCATTCCCTAACAACATCAATGCGTCGCTCTATGCATTACTTCAGTGGCTGTCTTGACGCTCCGGTAGCAACCCGCTGTGATCCGATTGATCAAGCTCGGCGTCAAGTTGCAGCGAGTGCTGTTATCTGCTCTGGGCGAGTACCTGGAGCAACTACTAACGCTGAGTAGTCTGGATAAACTCACCCCCATCCACCACCACCATGGAAGTGAAGCCTTGCGTGAGACACTGTCGACAGCGCATATGTGCCTCCTTTGGGCATGTTGCCAGTAGGCGCTGTGGAAAGCTGAAGAATGAGGAGAAGACACTCCGCAGCTTACACCGCTATTTGAGCTTAAGCTCTGATCTGCTGTGCCACTTGCTAAACATGCAGCGTGTGGAATGTGATGAGGTTTGTCGATTGGCAGAGTCTGATCGTGGATGTGCCCGGCAGCCAAGCGCCTGCTGCTGGAGACGCCTGGCTGGAAGTGATCTGAAGATACGTGGACTGGGGTATTGATGGAACAGTTGGATACAAGAGTGTAAGACGTGAATAGCGGCAGGATGGCAACATCGAGAGCAGGCAGTTGCAGGACTCGAGTAGAGAGATACCTACGTTGTGCCGTCCAGGTATTCCAGGTACCCGTTGGCTTGTCGAGGACAATGCCCTCAATCTGGGCAGATGCTGAAGATGGACAGCAATCACTCATGACTCGTCCAGATGCCTGATTAAATGTGACCAAGCCACCGGAGTGGTTTCATTTCTCTGATTGGGATCACTTTGAGAAGGCCTTTGTGTTGTTCTGTAGACGTCACTTGCTGGGCTTTTACGTACCTGGCTCAAGTCATACGTGCATTTGAAGAGCCGCTTTGTCTTCCAGTTCCACCTCTTGGGGTACGTTTCTGAAATTGTCTATGATGCTCTGATCACGTACATGAAAAAGGGGGTGCGGCACTTCATGCATGCCGTGGCATTGGAAAGGCACTCATCACTCCGTTGTGGTCTCCTAGAGAAAGAAGCAGACTCGAATGTCTTGTATATGAAATGTATTCTACCTAGCTATGTGTACATAACTCTCTAGCATCTCCTAGAGTCAGTTGCCAGTTCAGTGATACTATCATCGTGGCGTTTCACAGATACTACATCTAGGTGGAAGTAGGGCTTGTTAGGAAGTGATAACGCCAGAGAGCAGAGTTTTATCACTAGTATTCCACATCGTTATACCTACTGTGTGTTGTGTAGAGCCTGTTGGAATCAGACTGCCCCCGACTAAGCTTCTCAGTCATGGCTGATGCAAAGATGCCCGAGAGAGCCATGCATATCCCGCCGACGTCATGGTCACCAGCTCGCGCGGAGAGCATGCTGCCTCCCGAGTAAGAAGGCCACCATTTGATGAGGACTGGGGGTTTGCCGATTGAAGTCTACCGTATGATGAAGTTTCTCCATGGAATTTGATCACATGAGCCTCCAGTGTTACGTGGATTTCTGGGAGGGACGGGGACCAAGAGGTGCGGGTGGGTGTTTCCGATGGGAGTAACCATAAGCTGAGACATTTCGACTGCATCTTACGAGATTTTTCGTGAGCATGTATGCACGTGGGTTTATTTCTCGAAGCTTCTTATATGTCAAGGGGGGTTGGCCTAGACAGAGACTATCTTCACATATGTCTTTCTCCGCAGTTTCAGTGATACCATGGGCTTCTTCTCCGGAATGGTGATGTGCTTCGGGGTGGCGGCTGGAACAGTTGCCTACGAGATGAACGGATAACTTCTTTATACATGCTTCTTGTGGATGCGAGTAGGGGACTGGCATTGTGGTAGTGTGGGTGGAATCAAGATATGGCTATACAGCCTGCTTGTTATCAAAGGGGGGCGAATATGATGGTAGCTAGTATTGATGCAAAGGACGGGCGGCGAGCAAGTTTTTGCTATACATGGCATTTTTTTTATTATTCACTTTGTCTCGATCAGCGCCCCCCCTGATATTACCTGATGAGAAGCTACATGTGGCTACGTTGAGTCGGCAAAGATTGTGCATTTCACATCTGATCCGCGTTTTCGCCTACACCTTGTTTGGGTGAGTGTGTGTTCCAACGGCGGGCTGTACAGCTTATGGGCCTTCTTTGACATGTGGGTTGAGGAAGTTCTTTACACTTTTGAAGCGAAAATGACTGCCTGTTAGGATAACAACTGTTTACTATGGTGGCGGAGGACCAAGGTCTTGCTGCTGCGCCTGATGCCGAGGTCTATGCTATTAAGTGTCAAGTCTGGGAACCATAAGCCTTGAAAATCTTTAAGAGAATGAATTGTGAGCGCGTATATTTGGGTCTTGAACCGCTATGCTCTTGTATCCTAGTTCTTGCATGTAATGCTTGTGATAAGCCACCGTATACTTTGTATAAGATGGCGTGTTATCTCAAGGACAGAAGTCAATTTGAAGTGGCGGCCCATCTCGGGTCTCGTTCGGGTACGAGCTGAGGCTTAGAAGATATTATATGCTGATTACATGATCCAGTCAAATCGAAGCTCGGACTCGACAGCAAGACGAAATGGGCGGTTGCATCTCGTTACACATGGCTGTCCGGGAAATGCTTGGAAAGGCGGCAAGGGTCCCGTGCCTCGGACCCGGGCGGTTTCTCTTGATGTCTACCTATGTATGTGCATAGCCGGCTAGGTATACACACTACACGTACACGTACGAGTACATACAATAGAGACCATTTGCATGCTTGACAAGACCAATTGGGAATACGTGAGCGATCTGCGCAGGGATTGGTGGAGATGAGGCTCCGGGCGCTGAGTTGGACGAAGGCCATGAGGCTCTGTCACGTAGTATGTACGCAGTGGCAAGTTTCTTCCATCTTCCATTGATCGTGTTTACTGGGTTGTCCGTCTATATCGAGCGTTGCCATCACATATTTTTTGCTTCCCTTTTTTTTAAATCTTGTATGCCGTCATGCCAAGCTTACAATGTCTGCAGGAAGGGTTTTGATACGTCTGCTTCTCGTTGCATGAGGCTACCTACCCTGCAATGAATAGAGATCTTCTCGGGCAAAATGCACATTACATAGAATTCTCAGCTTGTCATTACTCATACTCGTAATTTTGGCATGCATCTTGTAATTTGATGCAGAATTTGCCGCCTTTGGAGCTGCATGGCCTACGAGTACGTCGATAGTTCTTGCATGAGGCGTATGTAAGGTTGATGATGCGCCACCATGCGAGGGGCAATGTCAGGGAGGCGGACGTCTTGAGCCTCGAATCATGTTGATAGTAATTACAGGACCCATGTCCGAACGATGCAGCGCAGCCAAGGTCCAGCCCTTCGGGGATGTGGAAGAATAGATTGGCAAATCTAGTAAGCTACCTACGTACAAAAGTGTTAGTATCACACATTATTTACAGGTACTGTATCAAGTCACGACACGAGGCAGAGTGACAAGGGGCAAGTAGTAGGTAAGGTAGTTGCTCCTCAAGTTTACAAGATGCTCGTACTGTCCAGAGACACCCAGTACATACGTCTATTTCAGGCAACGTCACCCAACAAGAGAGAGAGAGAGAGAGCAAGCAACAGCAAAGGCAAAGCAGGGCCACACAATTGGGCCCTGGCAGTGGCTGGCCATGACCCGGAATCCCGAGCTCAAAACAGGGCCATAGGCCGATAGATCCTGCCCGCCACTTCCCAGCTTGACAAACAGGGCCAGCTCCCACCCAGCCGACGCCACAGCTGTCGGGTGTATGTACCATAGTATGTACCTAGGTGGGTGTTTTTGTGTCCACTCACAGCCGGCGGACCAAAAATGCCGCCCTCGGTTTTTAGCCACTCAGCTGTGCCGCAGCGCCAGTCGCGCGTCGTGATTGGTTGCTTGGGTACATGTAGTGTCTGGCTGGGGACAACATCCGCTTGGGGGATACGTAAGCCTGGATTGGGCCAGCTGATTGGCTGGTTCTTCATTGTTGTTCTCTTTTCTCAATTGACTCCTTGTTTCAAGTACATACGGGTTCTCATGAGTCGTTGCTGTTTACTTTACCCTAAGGTACCTTTGGTCAATCTGATAATATCGATGAGAAGGCAACAAGGCCAACAGAATGGCGACAAGTGTGATACTACTAGGGGGGTCTTAAAAACGACTGCGTTTCCTATCCTAGCTCTACTAGGACAGGGGGCATGTTAATTAGCAAAAGGTCTATTAATTTATAAAAAAAAGATACCTTAGTTATAGTGCTAATACTATATAAAATAAGGTATTTATATTTTTCTATATACTTCTTTTATCTTAAAGATTATCTTACTAAAATTATAATAAAAAAGTAAGGCATAAGTATAACACTAATATATTAACTTTATAATTATAATAATAGCTATATATAAGCTATATCTTCTTTTTACTATAACTTTATTAAACCTTAATTAATTTCTATTATTTTTATTATAATAAACTCTTTAAAGGCTTAGTATTTAGCCTATAATTATTAAATTAATTTAGATATAAATCTGCCCTATTTTATATATTATAATCTTAAAACTCTTAAAGAGTATATTATTACTGCAGCTAAGTTATATTAAAAAGGCTACTACTTTAATATATCTCTTATAGCTAAGGCTTTTTAAGTGCCTTATATAAGATTATATAGTTAAGTTTAAGGTGCTTATTTACAGTCTTTTAATAAAGGTAACTGCATACTGCTATAAGTAGAAGAAGAATAAAAGATCTTTATTTAGGTATATTACTAAATAACCTAAGGATACTATATATAACTCTAGGCTTTATAATATTATATTAATATAATCCTTATAGCTTAAGGTAAGATAATAATTATATTTTACTTTTAGGCTAAGAGATTTATATAGCAGTTAAAGCAGGACTTTTATATTTATAAGTTTACTTTTTATAATATAAAATATAAGGCTATATAAAATTAAGGCGCTATTAAGTTATTTTTCTATATATAAAAGTAATTTCTAATATAATATAAGGTAAGGAAAAGGAATATATAGAATTTTAATAAAACTAGCTTTATAATTAGCTATTTTTTTACTAAAATACTCCTTTAGACTTTTATTTTAATAAATAACCTAGTCTTAATTAATTTTTATAATATTATATTTATTACTGCTATTAAGGCGATTTTAGTTAAGGGTAAGATAATTTCTTTTTTTATTATCCTACTTAAGGTTTAGCTGCTAGCTAAATAGTTTAAAAATAACCTTATTAATAGCATAATGCTTACTATAAGCCTAAAGGGCTATATTATTAATATTATAGCCTTAGAATAACTTTAATATTTTAAGAAATATATATAATTAGTAGATTTAAAAGAAATATAAGTCCTTTTTATAAATAGCTATAAAAATTATTTTATAAGTAAATTTATTTATTTTATAAAGTAATACTATATTAAGCTCTTCCCTTTGCCTTTATACTTTATATATTATCTTTAACCCCTTAATATTAGTGTTTTTTAATTTTATAAGCATTAGCATTAAGAGATCTTATACTAGGAAGTTATTAATAGCATAGTTAACTTTAGTAAAACTAACTTCCTATTTTATTTATAAGAAATATATAATTAAATATTTAAAAAATATATAATCCTTACTACTTAAAAATAAACTAGGCTTTTCTTATATAATTCTGCTATTATCCTTAATTAACTTTAAAATACCTTATTTTTATTAATAAGGACTGTAAATAAAAGCTAGATTACTAGTTATATTAATCTTAATAGTGCCTTAAGGTTATTATAGCTATTATTATTAAGAAGCTCTTTTTTTAGCTCTTTTATAATATAAAGGCTAGAAAAAATAATATTAAGAATGCTAATATAATTATAATTTAAATAGTAATTAGCTTTAATACTATAGCTATATATATAAATAATTAATTACTATTATAATTATATTTAGCACTAATTTAAAGCCTTTATTATCTTAAAAGTACTGCTAATACTATTAGTATTATATATTTTTAAAAAAGAAAGGAAAGCCTTATATACACTTACTTTAAATAATATTATAGTAATATCTAAAATAAGAAGTTTAAAGGCTAAAAGTATTAAGAGATTAAGCCTTTTTTAAAGGATATTAGTTATAGTAAAATATAGCCTAATTAGTATTAATAAGGCAAGAATCTAGCTTATTAAAAATAATTATAATAAATAAGTAGTATAAAAAGAAGAGGTAGTATAAATATAAAATAAGGAAGCTTATAATAAGGTGCCCTTTTTTTATTATTAGCTAAAGAAGGTTAAGGCTATTATCTGCGCTAATATTATAGCCTTATACTTTATTAATAATATCTTTATATATTTAAGTAACTTACTAACTGTAAATTAATAGTTTAAGTTAGATTATTATGCCTTACTAAATAATAATAAGTGGATTTATAACTGCTATTATTTTTATTATAAGCTTAACTTTTAAGGCTATTTTTATAGTAACTAGAAGTTACTAATACTATAGCCTTAAAAGTTAGACTATAATAAAAAGATTATTAAGGAAGCTGTTAATTATATAGTATTAAAAGTTAAATAACAGGCTGTTAATTATAAAAAGCTGTTATATAAAGCTAATAGCATTAAGATTATAAATAAATATAGCTTTAAAAAGCCAGCCTTTAAATTTAGGGCTATTAAGCTTAAAAGTAATAATAAGGAAGATAGCAGTAATAATAAAAAAAGCAGTAATAATAAGGAAGATAGTAGTAATAATAAGAAAAGCAGTAATAAGCTTACTTAGATATAAAGTGTAATGCTATTCTTTTTTTATTATAATAGTTATACTTTAATCTAGTTATATTAAATTATTATAAAATTACTAAATTTATTAACTTAAAGTAAGGTACCTTATTTTATATAGCATTAGCATTATAATCTATATATCTTTTTTTTTTTTATAAATTAATAGACCTTTTACTAATTAACATGCCCCCTGTCCTAGTGGAGCTAGGATGGGAAACGCGGTTGTTTTTAAGACCCCCCTAGTACTAAAGAGAATGGAAATAGAAGAGTGGAATCATGGCCAACGCCTTCTCTCTTCTGTGACAGGGGGACTGCTCGCCCTGTTTCGACGGACCCTTGCTCGCTGAGTGTGACTCCGAGATTGGCTCGAGACCCGGCTCTCGTCACATTCAACGACTGCCACAACTGAAATTACGCATGACGGGTTGGCGAGAGGAATAGTGCTGTAGAAACGCCCAGAATGCAACCTCACCGTCGACCTGACACGGGACATCTTTGTAGTAGAAGAGAGAAGAAGAAGGATAGAACACACACAGTACAGTAGTAGTTTACACTCACCGAACGCCCTCCCTCAGCGCCAAGGCTCTGCTTTGAGCTGAAGAGGCTTCGTGTGCTGCCATTGGGCACACCGACTTTTGGGCTGCGAAGAGGATCAGTAAGTCGTAGTACTCGTATTGACGACAACAGCAGGCTTCTCGTTTGTAAGAGGCGCGTTTTCGTCACACACCACTCAAGGTTCTTTGTCTCTGCTTGTTGCATGGCGTGTCGTTGTGGACTTACAAAGGCGTTGCACTGCCTTTTTTCTTCTTCTGGCTCTGCGTTCTGGTACAAGCTGTTGGCGCCGTCATCAGGCTGTTGTTGATGTCGTTGATGTCGCTGATCAGGCATATCAGGAGGCGATCATCCGACCTTGCGAGGACGGCTTATCGAGATCGGTTCTGCATACGATTACGAAAGACGTACGAGTTACATCTACTACGATGCTCGGGTCGTGCTGCATGAATCACCGCCTGAGTGTCATTGTCATTGCCCAGCAATCGCCTCATTGCCGACGTGGTTCGCCAACCGTCTGACTTATATTGACCTCGCTACTAGTAAGGTATTCCTTTTTTTTCTTTTCTCTTCAGCCGCACTTACGAGATGCATCTGCGCCCGCGTGGGTTGCGCACCCATGTTGTCACCGCTCATTTTTCTCACAGGTGTCTTCGATAGGTAATACATACATACGTACGAAATAGTCTTGCTTTCGGTAGGTACACATGCATGGCACGCCGGCAGGGAGATGCAGATGGAGGGTAGTATGTACTCGCATCGACAAGGTCCTGATAAGAAAATTCGCCGGTTTCAAGCACTCACTCTTCCACGGGGGGGAATTTCGAACACACAAGGAACCTCATACTGTACATGCAACCGCAGGATGGCACTTCGTGATCCGGGTGTACGAGTACACAGCTAATGTCCGAGGAATCCTTGAGCAACGCGGTCTAGGGGTTTGATTCATGTTCCCAGCAGGGCTGCAAGTCCGGGGGTGGACAGCAGCCCGGCCGCGTGCGCGACGAGGACGAAAAAGACGATCTTCCGAAGGCGGGGGAGGTGAGAAGAGGATGCTGCTCCGAACGGTAGGTAGGGGTAATACCATCACTTCAGCATGGGCAGGTGGTGTTGCGGATAGCAATAGTTCCGCGTGGGAACGGGCCCTGTCAGTTTGGCATCTCTGAAGTCGTCGAGATGTAGCGGTCTCTGAGTGCGTATTGATAGACATGCTGTCGAGTAGGACAGGGAGGTGACGCCTATGCGGCAGAGCCCAGGGACGGAAAGACACGGAGCAGGCTGTCCGGGATGAGAGATCTCATGCAGAATGTTTCTCCGTACAGACAGTACATACAGACAGTGTACGATACGTGCCTGGGTAATAAGAGCTGCTTGTTGATTGCGAACGAAACGCGAGACAGGCTGGAGGAGAGGCTCGTGCTGAAGCTCTTACGATGCCCTGGGGGTGGTCTCCTGTTGGTGCCAAAGGCCTGGGTGGACTCGGACGTGCTGCCAAGCAGTCTCTACGATTGGGTACCAACGGCAGACAGGTCGGACCACAGCAAGCAAGGCTCGGGCTCCCAAGGCTGGGCACGATGCAGCAAGGATTGCATCTTCATTTATTAATAACAGCCGTGCTGGGATGGCGTTCGACTTGCATGGGGGGGAACCAGAGCAGATGACGCCGGGCTGCAGATGGCTGCTGATGGCCGCTGCAGCACCCTTGAGCTGCTGCCCAAGAGCTGGTACGAAGCGTCCAGTAAGAACACGTGCCTCGTCTCAACAAGGCATGGGCCACGGCCTGGCTCTATTTTCAGGGTTCGTCCGTGGCCTTGTTGCTGCACCATGTACGAGCAGTTGTACATAGCATACAGGTACAGTACCTTATGGAGCACGACAGGTAATACCTACATGTACCAGAGGGTGAACCCAGCCGCAGCTCGGCTAAGGTATGCACTGCGCAGGCCTGGTTCGACGTCATGATCGAGCTCGGGTAGGTACACAGAACGTACAGTACAGGATACCTAGGTAGGTACAGGACACTCGCGCGTAGTAGTACCTTATGTACAAGGACAAGAGACAAAGACTCGAATGGTTCGGCAGTGGCAAAGCAATCAACGTCGTCGTCGCGACGGTCAGGCTCTTGTACTAGTACATAGTTGCCAGGTCGAGAAAGCGGCTCCGTGCCGCCACGGACGGACGGACAATGGCCGGGAACAACGAACAAAGAAAGAAAAGTGGTGAGCAAGGCCCACGAGCCGGAACAAGACAAGCACTGCCTGAAGCCCGTACATACAGACTATCGCCCGTCGGTCGCGGAACGGCGCTAGCAGGCATCAACAAAGAAACCAGGCGAAAGCAGAAACAAAAAGACGAGATGCACCGGAACGGCCCAAAAAACAGAACAACAGAAAAACAGAGAGAGAGAAAAGAAAGAAAAAAAGCGCCACAGTGGCCCGAGCGTCGCCGCAGGGGCCGCGGGCCAATCAAGGCGCGCGCACACCACGCCAGCCACTGGGCGGGCCCCGCCCTAGGGCTGAATCAGCCAGTCACAGGTGTTAAAAGCGCCCTGGCCCCCCCGCCCCTCAAATCATATCTTCGCATTTTCCCTCGTCCTCTTCCGCGAGCCTTGCCCATTCTTCTCCCCCTTCAACCAATCATCCCGCCGTTGCGCGCCCTGCCGCCCTGCCCTGTCCAACGAACGAGCAAGCCCGAACAGAGGGCGAAAAAAGGGCCCTTCCCGCTGCTCACGCGTGCAATCACATTCGATTCGTCCGCAAGGGGAAGCAATCGAAACAATCACGCTGCCTCGTCGCTGGCCATTCACAGCGACTCGACTATCTCGTCCCGATCCGCTCGACCCAAAGCCGCGCGCCAGTGGCCGCAGCGTCAAAGGCGAAGTCGAAAAAAAAAAGAGCTTTGGAGCTCACGCCGATTCCGCGCCGGGATTCGCATTTTTTTTTCTGTGGACAGAAGCGTCTGGAGCTTCTGGGCTGTCAGAGAGAGCTCGAGCTTTTTTTTTCTGAGCTGTTATTTTCAGCTACCCATTTTTTTTCTCACCCTGTGCAGCGGAGAGAGAGAGAGCTTCCTCACCTACCACACATCCCTCCCCCCCCAAGCTCTAATACCTACCTCTGCATACATACCTACTACTACCTCCATTATTACATACACGATCCTGCTGCCAAATCCCGGCAGAGCAACGAGACCCAAGCCGTGGAATTGACCCCTTGGCCGCCTCTTGCATTGCATTGCATCATTCCCAACACTTTGTTGTTGTCGTCCTTCGCCGTCCTTCTTATACATTCTCCGTCTTCCCTCCATCGCCGCCCTCGGACTCTCGGAGCCCCTCAGTCTCGGCTCAAGCGCCACTCGCCCGAAGCAGCGCAATCGCATCGCATCGCATCGCACAGCACAGCAACGCAACGCAACGCAGCGCAGAGCTTCGCATCCATCCGTCCATCCACAGCTTCCGCCGCGTCTCCCCCACTCTTTTCTCTCGGCTCGCTGCGACGTCAGAGCCAACAGAAGCAAGGGCTTGTTCATGCTCGTACAGGCACCCACCGGCTCACCTAGAAATTCAGCCTGCCCGCCAGCAAATCAGCGTCCCGCGCCGGCATAGCTGCTCCTCATCCATCTCGCCCGCCCGCAACACAAGAGGCCTATCATCGTCGCCAGCCTCAACCTCGCCCTCTCCATTGGCGCAACACGCCATCAGGTGACAGCGCGCATCTGCAGTGCCCATTTCGCTCTTGCCCGCTTCAATCAAACCGCTCTGCACGCCGCTGTCGATTCCCAGGAGCTGGGGACTTGCGCCAAAGCAGCCCACAGCAAGCTTGTACATAGCCGCCACTGCAAATCACTGCCCGGGTAGTATTTCAGACAGACTGCAGGCTTGATCGTAATAGCATCAGGCGCATTTACGCGCTCTCCTTGCATCTGTATAAGAGGTACGTACCGAGCATTTCTCGGGTCCTTGGCTTCTTTTTTTCTTCTTTCGTTTCCTTGATGCCGTCATCGTCAACGTCCATCCCGTCTGTCTGCATGTGCAGAGAGGGAACTCCCCAGCTCATTCCTTCTGCTTCTCTTTATTGAGTCTTCCTTCACTCTCTTCATCTACCCGAAACCCTCCTTTTCTTTCTGTGCAACGCGATTCGTCCAGTTGGAATTCGAGTTGCATGCTCTTGTCGATTTCGTTACTTTTGGCTCTTCTCTGCCTCACTCTGTTGTTGTATTGGCCCTGCCCTTCCCAGGTCTCATTGCTTGTCGAGCAGCTCCCCTCGTTTCACCATCATCATCGCCTTGTTCGGAATTCTCTATTCCTGCTCTCGTACAAGGCCCTTCTCAAGGCATATACGAAGCCTTGTTGTCGCCCACGCATTCGTTTACACCGACTCTTCCTATTTGCTCAGCCTACCACAGTCTCACAGCCTCTTGTCCTGATTCTACTTCCGAGCAGCTGTTACATCACTTTCCCCCCCCTTAGGTACGGAGTACAGCCACGGCTGAGTACGTCCAGCCAAGTCTGCCTTTCCCTGTCCTTGTCCTTCTGCACTCTTTTCCCGATCCTGTCCAGGCGTCACATGTTGAACTTGGCTGCGCTAGAAGCTGTTTCTAGCAAGCTCGAGTTCGACCTGCCCGATTGCCTCACTGGCCTTGTCTCGTCCCGTCCCTCCCTCCCTCTCGCCCGCACATGATTCGCCAACCTCGGCCAGAAACGTCGTCGTCTCTGACCGGACATGGCCAACACCCACCACCAAGCCCAGCCTGATCCCCCACCCTCGTGGCGTGTCTCGGGTCTCCATGCCCAACCCTCCGTCCGCCCTGCCATCCGGCTGGGATGAGGCAGTCGACGTGCCTTGGCTGCGATGCCTCAAGAGGGCTCTGCGCACTGCATCGCGTTAGGAGATGCGAAATCTCGAGGCGCCCACCTGGATCGGCACGGCCTCGTCGCCCTCATCCTCTGACGACGTCGCCTTGGGCCTTCATTTGCCTCAGCCAGACTTGTGTGCCGACGTGTCGGCAGCAGTTGGGGGCTTTGTTGCGGGCCTCCGTTGGCCTTGGTGGACCTGGCTGCATATTCCGTCATGCATGAGCTACATCTATGCCAACGCATCACAAGTGTGGCTCCCTGGCGCAGTGGCTCGACCCCCCTGTCTTGTCTCCATCCTTGCCTGGAGACCTCTCGCCGTCTCACCAGTCGCCGCACGCCGCCTACTATATACAATTGAGCTAACGCCTGTGGTTGGATAGATCTCTGTTAATCCTCGATTGAGACGCTCTGGGGAAGTGGAAAGCTCTGTTCCGTCCGCTCATCTGCATCGCCTACTGCCTGTACCTTGTCGCGACGACGCTGGAACCAAGCTTTGCTCCTCTCGCCCTCTTGACGCTTCCACTTCACGTGGCTCTCTATCTCGCCCGGCCACTCAGCCACCCTCCATAGCTGGCCCCCTCCCGCGGCTCCAAGTTTGGCCTGCAGACGCGCGCCGTGCGGCTTCGTGAGCCACGTACCTTGGCACCATCCCACCAGCCTGCCAGCTCACCCACGCATGTCTGCTTGACTTTGGGTGCCTGAAGATTGCACGCATTTCGCCTGCCATTACCCAAGCATCGAATCACCATCGGCTTCCCAACCGAACGTGCCCAACCCATACCCAAGCATTTTAACCCTCACCAAAACAGGATCGAGGGATAGCCGAGGAAGAAGCAAGAGCAAAGCATCAAGGCACGAACATCACGACTTATCGTCTTAGCACGGTTTCTTAGTTCTTTCATCCAACTTCTCAACCATTCGGCCTCAACATCCACGGCTACTCGCTGTAAGCAAGGCCGCCTAGCGTTGCGCTGTCGATATTATTCGCCCCAGCGTCTCTCCTAGCCTCAGGCCTGGGATTTGTGATAGGACCGGCCAGGTAGCGCCACCCCACAATTTGGCTCGCGACATCTTCGCGACACCAGCTTTGGTCCTTGTCCTTTCTGTAGGATGATGGAATACGCGCAATATCCACAGCAGCAACACAATTCCCACGCAGGTTACGCGAGCTCTGCCGCCGGTGCAAGTATCACGTCGCCCACCAGCCACGGCATCAACCAGCACGCCGTGCAATCGTCGCCCGTCAACGCATCGCAGCAGCAGCAGCAACAACAACAGCAACAGCAACAACAACAACAACAACAGCAACAACAGCAGCAGCAGCAACAACAACAGCAGCAGCAGCAGCAGCAGCAGCAGTCTCAGCAGCAACACCAGCCTGCTCAGGCCCCAGCTCACGGCATGTATCAACCACAGTACGGCGTGCCCCAGCCCAGCATGCAGCAGGTGCCGTATGGCATCCCTGGCATCCAGGCTGCCGCAATGGCCGCCACAGCCGCCGCCTCAGGCTCCGGCTACCCTTACATGCACTCGGATCCGAGCATGCCTCACACGTCGCCGCGCATGCCCAGCGCTAAGAAGGATGGCCGGCCGTCTCCTCGCATGAACAGCATTTCCCAGATCCCCGGCCGCCGCATGAGCCAAGTCACCAGCCCGGGCGTGCCGAGTGCCCCCGGCATGATGAACCACGGCGGACCCCGGCCCCCGCCCATGCCTCCCGCCCCTGCCATGCAGCACCCACAGTCGCCAGAGATGCCCGCCGGCGCCGTCGAAGAGTCGCCATTGTACGTCAATGCGAAACAGTTCCACCGAATCCTCAAGCGGCGCGTCGCCCGCCAGCGTCTCGAAGAGCAGTTGCGGTTGACTTCCAAAGGACGAAAGCCCTACCTGCACGAGTCCAGACACAACCATGCGATGCGCAGGCCTCGTGGACCCGGTGGTCGATTCTTGACAGCAGAGGAGGTGGCCGCCATGGAATCCAAGGGAGGGCTAGACGGCAAGGGTGAGGGTTCGGACGATGTCTCACCTGGCAAGTCCTCAGATGCCCCGAGCGGGAAGCGCAAGTCGGAATCTGGCCCCTCGACGTCCAGCAAGAAGCCCAAAACACAAAGCGACAACGGCGAAGGAAATGCAGAAGACGCCAGTTAATAACCGACCAGTCTTTGCCACTTTCTTTTCTCTTCTCCTTCACTCATTTACTCGAGCATGGCCAATTACTCTTGGCACTGCAAATGGGCAATCCTTTCTCTCATTTTCTTTCCTTTCACTATAACGAGGACATGATGACAGGGACGTTGGAGACGAACGCGAGTCTCTGCCGTCATTCCCAGTCGAGGCATCGAACGGGACGTGGAGTTTTCCTTTTGATGTTTTTATTTAACGGCCGGCAATTGGCGTGTGATATCTCAGCATTCCCCCGATTCGAGAACCTCCGCATGTCCCATGACGTCGACGACGCTTTCGCTACACCGTTGTGGAGATTGGACCGTCTCGGTCTGGAGACGAGGTGACTCTCACCACGGCCGAAGACGAGATGCCACAACTGCTGGATAGGGAGGGGGACTGGTTGGGCGGGTAGAATGCATGGATGACTCGACACGATGGATACCCCTTACTGTTTTCTTCTTGCCACACACAATTTTTTTTCTTTTCTTATGTTTATTACCTTTCTCTCTCTCTACTCTGTGGAATGTTTGAAAGAGCCGAAGCTTGGAGGAATTTGGTCTGGCTACCATGGAGATGCATCAGGGCAGTATGTCAATTTGTGTTTGCTTCTCTTCACTTTTTTACAACTTTGTCTTCTTCCAATTCTCCTCCTTTTTTTTTCTTCCATTCTTCTTCTTCTCACCATTTGATCACTTTCGTCTTCTCTTCTTTCTCCTCTTTTTTCTTTCTTTTTCTTTTTTTTTTTCTTGCATCAGCTGGTATATCATAACCGACAAAGCATAAAAAAAAAGAGAGAATGGGATAGGTACAACAAAGAAGCAACTCAAAAACAGGGCTACGCTGTGTGCAGGACACAGATAGACATCAGCATGTTTGAATAACGGAGCAAAGAGTGTCTGGACACTTGCGGATAGGGAGGAGATGACGGAGTACTGTGTAGGTTGTGGATATAGAGGTGAGGGTGTGGTCCGTCACCGGATATAACCTGGGCTCTCCTAGCATTGAAATTGATATCATTTGATAGCAATACAACATGTATTCGCAAGACTGCACGGACAAGTGCATCGTATGTGACTGGTGGTATACATGTAGCTTGATCCTTTGGGTGGGAAAGCCGATAAAGTATGTTGCACTTGAAGAATTGGAGAATTGAAGATTGGTGCATCGTTTGTTGGTCGAGAGAGAATGTGGAGCAATTGCTTGCACTTTCTTTGGCTGCGATGAGATCTGTCTTGAGGTAGGTACCTATGCATCTAATAATTGCTTGTAGCTTGAAGCTCGCTGAGCTCCTGACATTGTTTCTTTTGCTTGATTGGGGGAACGTTGCTCATCCAGCCAGTAATAATTGCAAATCTGGACTTACACGCCGTCCAATGAGGAGGAGAAGGAAACAAATGGAGAACCGGTCCTGGTAGCAAACAGACGATCTGGCAAGGGGGGGATGGTGGGAGGGGGGGAGAAAAAAAAAAAGCTGGGCGACCTCGGGTGTGTGTGAGTGTGTGAGTGTGAGTGTGTGTGAGCTGTGGCGCTGGGGTAGGTGGTAAGGTAAGGTAAGTTACCTTAGACAGAAGTCTGGGGTCGGGCTGGAGCCGCCAAACCGCCGAGCCTCGGTATGTCAGACCTGGTCCCGTCATCTTCTGGAGGGGGGATGCACAGCGATGGTGAGAGTAAAGCTGCTCTTCTTCCCTTCCTTTTTCTTCTGTGTTTCTCCCTAACAATCCCTGCTGCTTCTGGCCTTTTATTTCACGATCTGGAATCGCTTCGACTGTTGCGATTCGTCCAATTGACTTGCTTTTGCTCTTTTTATTTCACTTTGTCTACTGTTCTTTGGAGGTTGCCGACGGAAGTGATCGCGCGATAGAACGACACGATTGGTCGATAGAGGCTGCCTATCATCGAGCGTCACGATGGCGGGCGCGGTGCGGCAGCCGATTGATGAAAAGGCATTGGCAAAGTACATTGACGACAATGTGCCGATTATCAAGACGCCGATTGAGCTGAAGCAGGTTCGTCTTCAATGAGCCCCGAACCCCATCCCAGCAGTACATAAGGAGACGAACGACAAAGAAGAGGAAGAAGAAGAAGAAGACGAAGAAGCACAGCTAACCCGAGATCTCCCCCCCGTCGCAGTTCGGCTTCGGGCAATCCAACCCAACGTACCAAATCACCGACTCCACAGGCCAGCGCTACGTCCTGCGCAAGAAGCCGCCCGGCAAGCTGCTGTCCAAGACGGCGCACAAGGTGGAGCGCGAGTACCGCGTGCTGCACGCGCTGGAGGCGACGGACGTGGCGGTGCCCAAGACGTACTGCCTGTGCGAGGACGACGGCGTGGTCGGGACGCCGTTTTACATCATGGAGTTCCTCGACGGGCGCATCTTTGAGGATTTCCTGATGCCCGGGGTGAGCGCGGAGGAGCGGACGGCGCTGTGGAGGGAGGCGGCGCGGACGCTGGCGAGGCTGCACGCCGTGGACGTGCGCAGGGTCGGGCTGGAGAGGTTCGGCCGCGCCGAGGGCTTCTACGCGCGGCAGACGGAGACGTGGGCGACGATTTGCGAGAGCCAGGCGAAGGCTGTGGATGTCGAGACGGGGGAGCCGGTGGGACAGTTGCCGCATTTCGAGGAGCTGGTGGGATTCTTTCGGGATGAGAGACTGAGGCCGAGGGATCGGGCGACGCTGGTGCATGGGGATTACAAGATTGATAATTTGGTGTTTGATAAGAAGGAGGCCAAGGTGATTGGCATTCTCGAGTGAGTCTCTCTCTCTCTCTCTCTCTCTCTCTCTCTCTCTCTCTCTCTCTCTCTCTCTCTCTCTCTCTCTCTCTCTCTCTCTCTCTCTCTCTCTCTCTCTCTCTCTCTCTCTCTCTCTCTCTCTCTCTCTCTCTCTCTCTCTCTCTCTCTCTCTCTCTCTCCCCTCTCTCATCATCATGGTCATCATCATCATCATCTACTACTTGAACAATATGGACAAGGCCAGGGCTAACATTATCAAATCAAAAACCAAAGCTGGGAAATGTCCACCATCGGACACCCGCTGTCGGACATTTGCAACCTCATCACGCAGTTCTACCTCGCCCGCTCGCCGGGGGCATCCGCCTACGCCGACAGCGCCAACTTCCTGCCCGGCAAGACGCCCGGCCTGCCGCAGCCGGACCAGATCGTGCAGTGGTACACCGAGGTGTCGGGCTACGACCCGCGGCCGGACCTGGCCTGGGGCGCGGCGTTCAACATCTTCAAGCTGGCGGGCGTGTGCCAGGGCATCGCGGCGCGGTATGCGGCGCGGCAGGCGAGCAGCGCCAAGGCGAGGATGTATATCCATACGAGGGTGCCGCTGGCCGAGTTTGCGTGGGAGCTGGCGCGGGAGGCGAGGGATGCCAAGGGGGTGGAGGCGAAGCTGTGATTTGATGTTATGGCAAGATTGACATGGTTTGGTAGCGTGCTTCTGATCATGCAAGAGACGGTTGGTCCATGTCCTTTGCCGTGAGGTAAAATTGCTATTAGACGTAACGAATCTGATTCTCTGGAGATGGACCTCATCATGCATGAGGCTCGAGTTTGAACATGGCGGCTGCATGGATTGCATGAAATCAGCAGCGGCGCACAACTGATACACGCACCTGGTAGATGCAGCTTGGCCCCATCACGCAACTCGACTATCAACAGCAGAAGGAAAAGAGAGCGAGATGATAAAGGCTCTGGCGGCAGCTGGTAAAAATCACCCCCGGGCATCTTGGTGCTCTTCCTGCATGACAAAACTCCATCTGGCCTCGGCACCTGATCGATCCACGGCCGTCGGTTCGTCGAATCGAGGCGGTTTGGCGTCGTGGGGGCGCGTCCAATCAGGAATCAGGCGCCTGTCCTGTAGCGTTTAGTGCTCGCCCAGCGCTGTACCTACTAGGTAGTCGGTGCCCAGCGAGCCGGGATCTGAGGGAGTCGGGGGTGTCACTGCGTTTTCCAGGAATCCGGTTGTTTTTCTTTTGGTTGCCTTGACGAGTGTTTGTGTCTTCTCTTGATGGTCGGATCTGTAATCATCTATATTATGAATGGAAATCTCCCTGGTTCTTGACTGTATGGCATGACCATATTATTACTTCATCTCATCACACCCTCCCGCTTCCAGCTCCTCGAGCTACCTACAAGTAACCTTACCTCCAGCTCCCGCACCAGCCACCATCGTCATCGTACCTGTACCTAAACCTCCCACCAAAACATCAACATTCTCTCAAGCTTCAGACTTCCCCGACTTCTTTCTCAACCCCGTCCCCCAATTCTCTCCCTCCTCCTTTTCCTCCCTCCAACCCTCACATGACAGACCGACGCAGACGGATCCGCGTCTCCGAGGATGCGCCCGACGAGCGCCGCCCGCTGCTCAGCAGGCTGTCGACGGAACGGGCCGCCAATGGCGAGCACGTCTTCAGCTGCCGCACGAACCCGCACAGCGACCTGCCCGTGTACACGAACATCCATCGCATCCGGCGCGACATTGTGAGCGTCGTCGAGGACTATCTGACGCTGGAGCAGCTGCGGGATCTCAAGATTAACGTGACGGTGATCCGGCCGCTGGTGGACAAGTTTTACGAGCTGGGCGACATCTCGATTGGTGTGTTCTTCTCTGGCTTTCGACCTGGCAGTACCCTTTGTCAATGGATCGAGCAGGCAAAAGGGGGATTCATTGCGCTGACGCCGTCTCACAGTCTACTGCCTCCTCGTCAACAGAGCCCAGTTCCTCGACGAAGAGTCCCGCTCCAGCAACCGCCAAAACGTAAACTGGACCCGCGCCACCCTCTGCGAGCTCATCGCCACCCGCATCCTGCGCCGCTTCGGCGAGGACAACGACGGCGGCGCCGACGGCCTGCTGCTGCTGGCGCACATCCTCGTCGCCGGCTTCGAGCCCTTCCAGCACGCGCCCGCCCACGTCCGCGACGAGGTCGAGGACAAGGCCTGGTGGACCTCGCACCGCACCCTGCCCGCCCTCGAGGTCGCCATCCTGACCGAGAGCAGGCACTTTCTCAGCTCGACGACGTGCCAGCGGGTCGTCGCGGCCATTTACGAGGGCAGGGTCATCTACACGCCGTCCACGTCGTGGGACATCATCCCCGATCACTACAAGCTGAAGCCTATCTCGCTGTACGATCCGCGCGAGTCGCCGCTGCTGAACCAGTATCGCCTGATTGTACCGCGGACGCGCAACTATCTCGAGGCGATTCAGTTTACGATTCTGCTGGGGCTGTATGTCGCCGTCATGGTGATGCGGAGAAAGGGGGAGCTTCCGTATCTGGAGGCGGCGTTTGCGATTTATGCGTTTGGGTGGTGCTTGGATCAGTTTGCGACGATTCTGGCACACGGATGGTAAGCTCACTCCAGCTACTTTGGCAAAAAATTGTTGTTCTTTTCATTTTCAGAAGTGCCTTGGAGGGATCCGCTGACATGCCGGGTATAGGAACGTATACACACAGAATCTATGGTCCTTCCTCGACGTCACCTTTCTCTTCCTCTTCGCCATCTACAGCGGGCTGCGCCTCTATGGAGTGCAGACTGGATCGGCGGATCTCACCGAGCAGGCCTTTGATGTCTTGGCTCTCGCGGCTCCCGTCATAGTTCCACGCCTGGCCTTTAACTGGCTGTCTGACAACCTCGTCTTTCTGTCGCTGCGGTCTATGATGGCCGACTTCTTCCTCTTGACGGCTCTTTCGGCCTGGTGTTTCTTTGGATTCTTGCTGTCTCTGCTGTGGCTGGGGCAGGGAGCCCACCCGCTGCTGTAAGCTCTTCTCTCTCTCTCTTCGGTGGTTCGTATGTGCGAAATGCTAATCTTGTCTGCAAATGCTCAGTACAATATCAAAGTGGATGATATACATCTGGTTTGGACTTGACGGAACGGGAATCCACAGATCGGTAAGATTCATTCATCCCTCTTCATGCTCTGGCTTGTGCTAACATACTGGATCTGTAGGTGGAATTCCACTGGCTCCTGGGACCCGTCGTCATGATCACATTTGCTTTCCTCGGCAACACTCTCTTCCTTACCATCCTCGTCTCCATGCTGTCCAACACATTCAGCAACATCTCCAGTAACGCTGCAGCCGAAATACACTTTCGAAAGGCTGTCCTCACGCTCGAAGGTGTCAAGGCGGACGCCGTCTTTGCCTACCAGCCGCCATTCAACCTGCTAGCCGTATTCCTTCTTTTGCCGCTCAAGTTTGTCGTCAGTCCGCGCTGGTTCCACAAGATCCATGTGGCCACTGTGCGCCTGGTCAATTTGCCCTTGCTGCTGCTGATTGCCGTCGCCGAGCGCCGCCTGCTCTGGCCGGCCAAGACGTTTGAGACAGGTACCGTCGGCTCGCTGGCCCAGAAGTGGTTCTGGCAACGGTGGCAGCTCTCGGCCTTTCAGTATATCCGCGCGGTGTTTGACGTGCCACCTCCGGACGACGTGTATGATGACATTGCCGTGGACGACGACTTGACGCATCACCTCATCCGGAGGCAGTACGCGCGGCAAGAAACTCACGACACAACGAGAAAGGCCTCGCGCCGAGACTCCATGTTTGAGATCCCGCCTAAGCTGCGTGGTTCGCTCACGGAGACGGGCGAAGACTTGAGCGATTTGGCGGGCCGACTGGTAGCCATGGAACAAGCCATGGCGCGGATGGAGGACATGCTTTCGCGGCTTCTCCCGTCACAGGCTGACGAGGCCGACGAGAGTGATACGCTGCCCGAGGGCGATGGAACTACTCTGGCGTCGAATTTCAAGGGGCGAGAGACGAATTTTTGAAAGCATCAAGGGTTTTGGTGTGAGCTTTACTAGAATAGCGATCTGTGTGCATGGATTTGAACGGTATCTGGCATGAGTGTTTGGCGTTTTTTTTTGGTCTTATCGCATTGAACAATGGAGCGTTGCTTGGCTAGGGATGCATATATCGAGGTTCAATAAACAAGTCTGCCTCTTGCTTTTATGATAGTTGCGTGTCTACGACTGAGGGCCCGTTATCTCAAGAGATGGTGATAAATACGGCGTTTGACGGCCACGTAGGTATGGATGGACTGATGTGATTCACTGCCAGCTGCACATGGTCCGCGTGTTTCCTGAAACTTTTCACATCTTGAGCTGTTGGAAGCAAAACATGCTTCTTCCATGAATCAAATTGCATCTATTGTGCTGTTGAGACGTCAAAAACACACAAGGTAAAAACCGCCTCCAAACTCTCACAAAGCAAAAACTCAAACTCAACAACCAGCTCTTCGAACGCGCATAGCAATCCTCCCATCCACACATTCAAGAAAAAGGGCCAAAAGTGAACCAGCAAAGAAAAAAGAATCACACAAAGAGCAAAGAAGAAAAAAGCTTGCAAAAAAGAAGAAATAAACAAAGGCAGCAGCCATGTGCAACGTGACATTCTTCCAGCACAAGTCCTGCAAGCACATCTGGGCCATCATCTCGACCCCCTGCGGCCCGTTTATGAACTTTCACACATGCCCGTCCTTTTGCGACGCTCCGGCGGGGGGAAGCGTAATCAAGGCCACGCCTGGCTTCTACAGGACGGCGAGCAGGGCGTGTCCGCGGTGCGACTTGGGCGGTGTGTATGATCGCGGGGCGGTGCGGATGGTGGAGAGGATGGGATGGGGATTGCATTGGGGCTTGGATCCGGAGGGGGGCGATTGGGCTGTTGAGGTGAGGATGGGGGAGGCGAGGGGGTGTGTGATTTTGTGACAAAGGGGGAGGGACTGATGAGGAGGTGAGAAAGGTGGTGGTGGTGGTGGTGGGAAAAAGTGAGGCCTGGAAATGGGTGGTGATGGTTGGGGTTTTGGTGGTTTGGAAGGGGGGTTTTGCTTTGAAGTGGGCTTGTGCCTTTGGTAACTTTTTCTGACGGGTTATGGAGGATTCAAGCATCCGCGATAAAAACAAGAACATATTTCAATCAATTCCGACGATCTCATCCGTCCTTGAGTCTTTCCAATTCCGATACATCTTCACCTCGTCTCTTGTGACATCACGTGGCCCCACCAATACTAAGCTTCACTTCTCATCAAAAAAACTTCATGAAGCTCTCACCATCTACACCTCACAACCCTCACACAAACTTACCCTCTCTCCCCTCTCCCCAATCTCACAACTAAAGTACTTTCAATCCATTATAACAAAAATGCTGCCAACACCAGATACATCCCACGTGCCCTACGAGCGCGTCTACGAACCGGCAGAAGACTCCTTCCTCCTCCTCGACACCCTCTCTTCGCCCTCAGAAACGCAGTTCCTCCACGAAACCTTCTCACCTACCTCTTCTTCTTCTTCTTCTCCGTCCAAGGCCGGCATCCCGTTTGTCGTCGAGGTAGGAACGGGATCGGGCGTGGTCCTGGCCTTCATCACGGCACATGCCAAAGCAATCTTTGGCACGAACCAGGTCCTCACCGCGGGAGTCGACATGAACGCCTTTGCGTGCCGCGCAACTGTCACCACCGTGGCCAAAGCACAAGCCGATGCTCTCGCCGAGGCCGCCGGCACAAACAGCGGCAACAGCAGTCATGATGGGAACCAGGTCCCCCATGGAATGTACCTAGGCTCCGTAATGGGCGACCTCACAGCCCCCCTGAAGCCCAACTCCGTCGACGTCCTCGTCTTCAACCCCCCCTACGTGCCGACATCGGAAATGCCCAACCGGCCAGAAAGCTTCAAAGAGGACTTTCCCTTTTCCTCCTCCTCATCGTCCAACAAGACGTCCTTTGACGACGACTCGTACCTGCTGGCGCTGTCGTATGCTGGCGGCGCGGACGGCATGGAGACGACGAATAGGCTGATCGCGGGGCTGCACGAGATTCTTTCGCCGAGGGGCTGTGCGTACGTGCTCCTGTGTGCGCAGAACAAGCCCGAGCTTGTCAAGGAGAGGATAAGGGGGATGGAAGGGGGCGTGTGGAGGGCGGAGACGGTTGGGTCGAGTGGGAAGACCGCGGGGTGGGAGAAGTTGCAGATTGTGAGGATATGGCGAGGTTCGGCGTGAAGGGCGAAGGTTGCGTTGGCGGCATCAGATCAATGGTTGCATGTTATTGCCATGAGACTGGTTTGACTCATTCGAAACCAATGCTATTTGGCGTCTAGGTAGGTGTCGTGAAAGTCTGGGTGGGGGCTTGGCATTCCTTCTGCCAACACGGTTCTGGAAGAAGCTCGAGATCAAGTCTCTTGGTGGGGGAACAACTTGATTGGCATCTTCAATGCTTTCGAGATGATTTCCGAGGTCAGGACATCCGCGTTATATGCTAGATCACGGCGGAAAAGGATACATGGCTTGGCAAGCCTCGTATATTTGGATATCGTCGTCTCATCTTTGACTAGATTCTTTGGGCTGTATGTCAGGATGGTGCACCGCAGCTCTTCCATCCGTTGCCCCTATTCAGATGCCATGCTTTCCTTTTTTTTCAGTTTTCATATGGGCAAAACGCATCCTAAACGCCATTTCCATCGCAGTTCCGCGACTTCACCTCCGCAATATCCTTTTGACCTTTGACCTCAAAAAAAAAAAAATGACGTGCTCTGTTCTGTATCGTGTTACAAAAAGATCCCTCCACCCACTGACATGGGCCATTGGCCTTTGCTTAGCCAGAAATCAGAAGGTATGGTTCGCCTCGGGTCCCTCAATAACCCCCACCCCCCACCCCTCATCGAATTATCATCGTCCGTCGCGAATGAGAAAAAAAAAAGAAAAAAAGAGCTTTAGCCACGTCCACGGCCGCGGCCACGACCGCGACCTCCTCTGCCACGGCCTCCACGACCACCGCGGCCGCCTCTGTCAGCCTCCTTCCTCGCCTTGTTCTTGGGCTTGGGCGCGTCGTCGATGAGCAGGGTGTCCAGCGGGAGGGAGTCGGGGAGGATAAAGTATCGGATTGTTGAGCCACGGATGTTCATGGTGTCGAGGGCGATGGAGTCTTGGCCGCGCGCCGTCATCTTGACCGTGCGGAGGGCGACGTTCATCTGGGGGGTCACGGACGAGATGGTGCCGTGAGCGATGGTGCCTGTTTGGGTGGGGTGGTTAGCAAAAGGGGGGCCCGGGTTCTGCTGGTTTTTGTCCTCGCTGCGGATGGGATTTGAAGCTGCGTGATGATGATGATGATGTTTGCGAGGCACCAGCAAGCTGTGCGTGTGGCGGGTTGCACCGTACCATTCTTGAGCTCGATTGTCACCGTCTCGTTGGCGCACTTCATCAAAAATCTGCCATCACGCAAACCGTCAGCATCACAAGTTTATCCATCAGGTTCCAAAACACGCAGAGCTTCCAGCATGGGACGACTGCGAAGAGCAAACTCGAGCTGCCTGCCAACAGGTGACTTGGGTCTCGTTGCGATGGCTGCTTGGCTTTGAAGGGGAATTGCCCACCTGACGAGCTTCATGGCGACGTCTGGAGGCCTATCTGGCCGGGTGCGGGATCAATTCAAGGGTTCTGGTCTGCCTCGTCGCGCGCGTTGCCTCGTCACACGGTGGTTCAAGGTTGTTGCAAGGCTGGCGGGTTGCCTTGGATTGTCGGTCGGAAAAATAGTACCAAGTTGCCCATTGGCTTTGGCTGGGCTGGCGACCAACTCGAGCAAGTTTGGCTGGGATGCCGGGTGAGCTAAGCAGCACGTGACCATGGAGCGACTGTGCCTCGTCAAGGTACATAGTACGGAGTACCGATGAGATGATGAGTCATCTTCACGTGAATGGGAGCCGCAGCTGGATGATTCAGAGCAAGAAGACGGGAAAGATGCCTAAGCGAACTTCCATCGTAGTACCCGTCACTTCCACCCCGCCCTCTCTTGAACGCAATCCTCAGGTACTGCTTACCTACCTCGTCCCGATCGAGGCACAGCGTTTCGTCACTACCTTAACCACCTATTAGGTACTACTATAGAAAGCGGCAGCCAGAAAATTCGTTATCGATAATGCGAGCTCCATTCAAGTGGGAAACCCCCCGGCACTTGTTGCTGGCAGCGGAGTCACTCTCGCAATTCACCCATTTCCATCTGCTGCTTGTCGCAATCAGATGCAGCAGCTTGAGCCTCCTCCATCTCCTCCATCGCCTCCAACGACAGCTCCTTTCCGTCCGTTGCCGTACGCGGAGAATGCAGAAGCTGCAACCTCCACCGTCTTGCCGTCTCCCCGCTGAATCCGTCGTGGCTTGACGATCCTCCCCGTGCTCAGGACAGACGCAACCCGAACCAACTGCCTGCTCTGCTGCTACTGGAGAGACGTGCCGAGCTCTGCCAAAAAACCCCCACCATCTGTGCGACCAGCGGCTTTGGGGGTTCGACTGACTCTTGTTCCGCGATCGGGCTTCCACGAGCAGCTGGCTGGCAGATCCTGACGCTTCGTCTCGCGGTGATTGTCTCGCAGTCGCTCGCGGAGCGCTGAAGCAGCCATGATATCAGGGCGAGGGGGAGCGGGGGCTCGAGGGCGCATTCGCCCACCTCGTCGGATCGTGCGTGTAAGTAAAAGTTGTTGCAAAGTTCTGGGCATCCAATCTACCCCCTAGCAGACTGCATACCTCACGGCGCATCACTTGCCTCGCTCTATCGTCGCTCATTGAATCCTGAGCGCATCGTGAGCGCAACCTGAGCCCGTTCGGAGGCGCATCCCTGCTCTGCTACTACGTCGAAACCCATCAACTCCCGCTGCTCTTGGTGCCCTGCCCCTCTGATTCACTTCCCCTCTTCATCGCACCCCACGCCGCTTGTTTCCCATGCTTCTTCCCCCTCACCAGAGACGCCAGAGCCGCCGCGATGGGTTCCAACCAGAGCAGGCCGATGCCCGAACGTGCGCAGGAGCCCTCTCCCGAGCCATTCCGCTTCCATTCTATGGCTCTCAGTCTGACTAACCGCCGTTCACAGTCCCAGGCAGCGGGCGAGGGAGCCGATTTCGATGCGTGCTGGAACATGATCAAGGAAGCGCTATACGACATCCACAACAAGAGCTGCGGCCGTCTATCCTTCGAAGAGCTATACCGAGCGGCCTACAAGATCGTCCTCAAGAAGAAGGGCGAGGTTCTTTACGAGAGAGTCAAGGAGTTCGAGGAGCAGTGGTTTGCCGAGCATGCCATCCCCAAGATCGAAGTCCTCGTTACCAAGAGTCTCATCAACATGAGCGTTGATGCCTCGTCGTCGGCCTCGGTCAGCGAGCGGCGCCAGACGGGCGAGAACTTCCTCAAGGGTCTGAGGGATACTTGGGAAGATCACAACATGTCCATGAACATGACCGCAGACATCCTCATGTACCTAGACAGAGGCTACACGCAGCAGGAGCCCCGTCGGGTCCCCATCTTCGCCACCACCATTGCCCTGTTCCGAGACCACATCCTGCGCTCTTGCCTGAATGCGAACTCTGATCGCTCGATCGGCGACATTCTGATTTCCGTCATGCTGGACCAGATTGACATGGAAAGGCGCGGAGACATCATTGACCGAAATCTCATTCGCAGCAACACCCGGATGCTCAGTTGCCTCTACGAAACCGAGGACGAATCCGAGAACAACAAGCTCTACGTCACTACCTTTGAGCCCCGGTTCCTTGCCAACAGCGAAGTCTTTTATGCGCGAGAATGCGAACGGCTGCTGCGAGAGTCCGACGCCAGCACCTGGCTGCGACATACCGAGACCAGACTCCGTGAGGAAACAGATCGGTGTGGCACTACCATTGAGCTCGAGACTCTGCCCAAGGTGACAAAGGTGGTAGAGGAGAAGCTGATTCTTGGTCATCTCAACGACTTCCTCGCCATGGAGGGTAGCGGCCTCAGGTGGATGATTGACAATGACAAGATTCACGACCTCAGCATCTTGTACAGACTCATCGCGCGAGTGGATGATGAAAAGACGGCGCTGCGTGACATTTTGCAGAAGCGAGTTGTCGAGCTGGGCTTGGAGATTGAGAATGTGCTCAAGAACACCGATTTCTCGACGGCGCAGGGCGATGGCGAAGATGGCGGAGAGGGCGACAAGGGCAAGACGCTGAACCCGGCCGCGCAGCAGACGGCAGCAGCCATCAAGTGGGTGGACGACGTGCTTCGTCTCAAGGACAAGTTTGACTACATGCTCCAAGAATGCTTTCAGGGCGACCTGGTGCTACAGGCAGCCCTGACCAAGAGCTTTGCCGAATTCATTAACTTGTTCAGCCGAAGCTCGGAATACGTCTCGCTCTTTATCGACGATAATCTCAAGCGGGGGATCAGGGGCAAGACGGAAGCCGAGGTGGACGCCATCGTGGAAAAGTCCATCGTCTTGATCCGGTACCTGCAGGACAAGGACCTGTTCCAGACCTACTACCAGCGTCATCTCGGACGACGACTGCTCCATGGCAAGTCGGAGAGCCACGACGTCGAGAAGCAGATTATTTCGCGGATGAAGCAGGAATTGGGACAGCAATTCACGACCAAATTTGAGGGCATGTTCCGAGATCTCGTCACCTCTGCCGAGCTGACATCGACATACCGCGACCATGTCCGCAAGCTGGACCCCGAAGACCACACGATTGATCTCAACGTCAACGTCCTCACGACCAATTACTGGCCCTCCGAGGTCATGGGGCGCAGCGCTCAGTCAGGCGATAGTTCCAAAGCGGGATGTACCTGGCCGGCCGAAGTCAAGAAGCTGCAAGCTAGCTTTGAGCAGTTTTACCTGACGAATCGCAACGGTCGCAAGCTCACCTGGATCGGCACCACCGGCAGCGCAGACATCAAGTGTGTGTTCCCGGCGATAGAGGGCAAATCCGGGCCCTTGGCGCGGGAGCGTCGCTACGACCTCAACGTCCCGACGTACGGCATGGTGGTCCTGTCGCTGTTCAACGACCTCAAGGATGGCGAGAGCCTCAGCTTCGAAGACATCCAGGCTAAGACGAGCTTGTCGACGGCCGATCTCACGCGAGCGCTCATGGCGATTGCGGTAGCGCCCAAGTCGCGCGTGCTGGCCAAGGATCCGCCCACCAAGAATGTCAAGCCCGGCGACAGGTTCTCGTTCAACGCCTCGTTCCAGAGCAAGACGATTCGAATCAAGGCACCCATTATCAACGCCGTGTCCAAGGCCGAGAACAAGGAGGAGAGGAAGGCGACAGAAGACAAGAACAACCAAACTCGATCTTATATCATTGACGCCGCCATTGTGAGAATCATGAAGTAAGTTGATAACGGAGCTCAGTCGGTGCATAGTCCTAGCTAACCAATGTGTCAATAGGGCGCGAAAGGAAGTCAGCCACTCGCAGCTGATTAGCGAAGTCTTGTCGGTGCTGGCTGGCCGCTTCAAGCCCGACGTTCCCATGATCAAGAGGCGCATCGAGGATCTCATAGTGCGAGAGTACCTGGAGCGTCCGGACGAGGAGGGCGCGCCATCCATGTATCGCTACCTGGCTTGATTCAAGCGGTGGCCATTCGATACGTGGGTATGGGTATGAGTATGGGTATGGGTAAGGGTTAGCTTGTGATGAATTACATACCAGCATAAGGGGAGGGCTCTCTGACTTTAGATATCTTCTTAAAACGCGGCATGGCGTCCAGAGCTTATTTTGCTTCTTCTTATTCTATGGTTTCGCATACATTTGGGGATGAGGGAGCGAGATGTGCGTCCAGGCAATGGCATATTCCTTACAGCTGGAAGGCGATATAGGAGGGCATTTACCTAGATGATGGTATCATGATGGTCTTGGAACTGAAGGAAGTGGATGGCCCAGGCATCAGGAGGTCGGCAAGGGGTCTGATGAGATATCAATTATAGCATGAATCAAGTCAAGACTCTCATGTTGTCTGGCCAATTTTTTTCACTCTTCAATTGAGAGCTCAACTGGGTACATGATGGCTGCAATTGCGCGTGAGGCTGATGGTGAATTATCGAGACGAGATTACGGACTGCGAAGTCGGAGCAATCACTACACGTACCTACTATAGCTAAGTCATTTTGTATACATGTAGGTAGGTACTGTACTGAGCTCAACTGAGCTTGACTGAGGTAGCAGCACATATGATGACGTTCTTAAGACCAGTCTTCCTTGTTCAGCGTCCACACTTCACTACAACCCTGGAGCTGCCCTGTAAGTTAGCGGACGGCTCAGGTGCATCCTGCGCTGTAAGCCGGGCCCGGACCATCCTGTGCCGAGGCTAACGGCCAAAGACACGATCTCTCTTACAGTAAACTACTGTATGCTCAACTTTATCCTTGTCAGCATCTCGGAAAGACTTCCATTAGTTGGCCGGACACGAAATTACTTGAACTGAGAGCTGCACAGGTCAACACACCGCCACTGACATCTCATCCTCCCTCACTCTCTTTCACTTCTTCAGTCTCTTTACCCTCCCCCCCTAAACAAAGAGAGGCACAGATTGTCTGTCTGTCTGCCCGGAGTTCCCGTTCACAATGTTTGGACTCAGGAGGTCCATGGCCACTGCAGCCTCGCAAGCCTCCCTCTCGCTCAAGCAAGCCGGCAAAGTCGTCTGCATCGGCCGCAACTATGCGTACTGGACCAAACCCATCTCCCTCCCTCTGTCTCCTCAAAACAGTAAAAGAAAAAGCAGCTAACGATTTGCGTGAGCACACAAAAATAAAAAGAGACCACATCGCGGAGCTGCAAAACGCAAAGCCAAAGAAGCCCTTCTTCTTCCTCAAGCCGCCCTCGTCCATTGTCCTGCCGGGCGAGGGCCCGTGCCTGCAGCCCAAGGGCGTGGACATGCACTTTGAGGTGGAGCTGGCGCTGGTCATTGGGCGGATGGTGAGGAACCTGCATCCCGAGGATGAAGAGGGGGCGATGGATGCTATTCGGGGTGAGTTCAATGGCATTTTCTTATATCGATATATGTATATATATGCATATATATATGTGTATATGTGTGTGTATGGATGGCTAACGAAAAAAAAAAAAAAAAAAAAACAGCCTACGCCGTCGGCATCGACATGACAGCCCGCAACGTCCAAAACGAAGCCAAGAAAAAGGGCCTCCCCTGGGACATTGCAAAAGGCTTCGACACCTTCTTGCCCATGAGCAACCTCATCCCCAAGGCGGCCATCGCGGACCCGCACGACGCGGAGCTGTTCCTCGACGTCAACGGGCAGCCGCGCCAGCGCGGGTCCACGGCCCTCATGATCTACCGCATCCCGCGCATCATGAGCGACATCTCGCGCGTCATGACGCTGCTGCCGGGCGACGTGGTCCTGACGGGGACGCCGGCCGGCGTTGGGCCCGTCGTGCCGGGCGATGTGATGAGGGCGGGCGTCAGGGTGCAGGGACAGGAGGTGGAGGAGGGGAGGATCGAGGTGCCCGTGGAGTTGTCGGGGAGTGCGTATGAGTTTTCCGAGACGTAGAAGGGTTTGATGGCTTTTTTTTTCTGTTTGTGCTGTGTATCTACACATATAGACAATCCAACTGGATTGAGAGGAGAGGAGATGAGATATGGACAAAGGGACAGGACATGGTGAGAAGACGCAGAAGGCTTAGAACAGCTCGGGCTGTCCTAGTCATTGGCAGCGTGTGTACCGATCCTCAAAACCCCTCCTCCTACCTATCCATACATACACAGAGACAAAAAGGGGATATATTATCCCCTCTTGGACACACAAAACTTTCATCATTAAAACATGGAAACTCACTCCAAGTTCGGATCCCGAATCGACCCCGGCTTGGGCGCCCAGTCCGCCACCGTCCCGCACCTCGTACACGTCCTCTTTGCCTCGTCCGCCCGAAAGTCCTCCACCGCCAACTTGATCTGCGTCCCCAGATCCGTGCAGTGGAACGCCGCCTCGTGCACAACAACCGCCTCCTGCTCCCCGGTCCCCGCGAGCGCCTCCTGGCCGCACTGCCCCGTGCAGTACCAGCGCATGCGGTCAATCGAGTCCGCCGGGCGGCGCTGCTCCAGGACGATGCCGACCGTGTTGGCGAAGCGGACCGGGTTGTGCGGCGTGTTGGCCGGCAGCAGGAACATGTCGCCCTCGCGGATGACAATGTCGCGAAAGGTCGAGCCGTCGACGACCTTGAGCAGCATGGCGCCGCGGTACTGGTAGAACCATTCGGGGGTCTGGTTGATGTGGTAGTCGGTGCGGGCGTTGGGGCCGCCGACGATCTGGTTTGTGTTTGTTTGTTAGTCAATGGGGCGTCGACATGGAAAGAGTGTGCGTATATATATGATGGTTTCCGAGGGATGTGAGATGAAGAAAAGGGATGAGGAAGAAACTTGCCATGACGGTGAAGTCATCGTTGTAGACGCAGTAGTTGTTGACGGGTGGTTGAAGCAGGTGAGAGTTTGCCTCGAGCCTGGAGATGGATGACAAGGCACAGATTAGCCCGTTATTTGTGTCTTCACTAAAACAACCGAGAAGAGTCAAGCTGGTGATGGTGTTTGACTCACCACTTGGGCAGATTGACTGGCGGTCCGAGCATTTGGGTTGTGGGTGGGTGTATGTATGTATGTCTGGGTTGTGTATGATGATGACTCTTCAACACCAAAAGCTGGGGTAAGTGTCGATTGATCCGGCCTAGTACAACAGCTATGCTTTGCTTATCTAGTCAGTTGGAGAGTTGAATAGAGACTGACAAGCTCACAAACCTGGAGATGAAGATGAACAGAGAACAAAGTGAAAAAAAGAACTCACTAGAAGTTCTGTCGCTTGTAAAAAAGAAAGTCACAGATGACAGACACAGAAGCTCAAGAGGCGAAGTGCAACGTCCACAAGGAAACCTTGTTTACCTTATCAATCATACCCTCCATTTCTTCAACCAGCAACTTCTTTTGCGGTATTTCGTACTGTCGTTTACCGTGCCGAGATACACGAGCTACATGAACCGACTCCGTCTATCCGGCTCTCCGGCCTGTGTACCGTACAGTGCGAGGCTCCCCGATATCCCGCATAAACTGTGACCGAGCTTCGCACCGTGTGGGCGTCAAGCCGTCGACATCATCCCACTTGAAGCGACTCAGGTTTCACTTCCTCAAGGATGGAATATGAGGAGACAAAGTGCCAGACTCGACTATTCCACAGTCCAGAGCTTCTCGTCAACGCCCGCCCACCGGAGAACCGCCTCCTGAGACGCCTTGAACCTGCGCCTGAAGCCCCTCGTCGCCGGCCGGGGCCCGTTGTAGTTGGACACCTCCGACTGCAGAAAGGTCCGGATGATGCCCGTCACCCGGGCCTCTTCTCCATACAAGTTGACCAGCATGCCGTGCAGCGCATGAAGGTGCCCGATGAAGACGTCCTGGAACTCCTTGTGCTTCGGCTGCGCGGGGCCTCGCAGCCCCGGGTGGTTGGGGAACATGGTCAAGGTCGACAGACACAGCACCAAGTCGATGAGGTCCTCGGACCAGGGGAGGCCCTTCCGGTAGCCAGTAAAAGCCAGCGCCTTGATGCGGATCTTGACGCTGTTGATGAGGTCGCCCTGCCTCTCGCAGAGCGCCGCCAGGGCCTTGAGCACCGTCGGCAGCGGCTCGAGGTCGTTGGGCCAGGGGCGGCCCGCGTAGCCCGTCTTGACGATTTTGTTGACCGTGGCCATCTGGCGGTCGACGTCGAACCTGTTGGGGGATGCCCAGGCTTGCTTCTTGGACTCATCTATAATATCGAACAAGGCAGCCTGCGTGCTGAGAATGGAGGGGATGGCGTCGCCATCGCTCTTTGCTTCTCTGCAGTGGCGGTCAGACTCTTGCCGGCATCTCTCGCCTATTTCTCGTTTGTCAGCATTGGGACCGATAGTGTCCAAGAGTGCGAGTTGGCGGCATGCCAGAGACTTACAGTGGCATCTGAACTGATACCTCGACGTAATACGTGGGTTGCGAAACGTAAAGTCGTACGCAATGTCTCGGTAGCAGTGCAGCAGCTCCTCGCCTGCCTTGAGCTTCCGGAGGGCTCGAACCTGCACCTGCGTGTTGTTGAACACAATGGCAACGTTGGGGTCGCAGTCGTGGTTCAGGAGAGCTCCCCCCAGGTCCAAGGCAATTCCAAGCGGCGCGTTTCGATACGTCTGATCGACCGGCAGCGCATTGCAACGGATCTGAAAGACAAGTTAGAAGGTTGTACACTCTGCAGGTTCCCCAGTCCCAACTGCGACGGGTCCGCCCCAACACTGTCCTTGAAGGGAGACACTCACGATGCCATACAGAATCAATATCTCGTAAATGCCGAGCTCGCTCTTGGTTCGCTCCTTGGCTTCAAGGGCAAGTTCCAGGACCTTGGGCCACGTTTTCTTGGCTCGTCTCTCGAAATTGGCCATTTCGCTCTCCAGCCTGGACAGGCCCTGGACCTGCTCCGGCAGCAAGACCTTTTTTCTCATCAGAATCAGGAGACGGTACAGTGTTCTCGTCTCGAGATCGGTGGTCGCGCCCGACAGCAAGCCGCACTCGTACAGATGGCCGGTATCCCAGGCTCGTTGCCAGCAAGACTATATCGCAACCCAGATCAGTCAGGTTGATCAAGCCAGCAGAATACCCAAAGACTGGCCGTCTGCTTACCTTTGAGCAGTACTGGTACATGTGACAGCCATTGCAGACATGGAGAGGCGGCATCATCTCGCCAGGCCCGAGGAAGCGGCTCTCGGAAGGGTGAAAGACCCTTCGCCTCTGCTGGAAGCAAAAGTCGCAGGCTTCCATGCCATCGCCAACCTCTGCACAGAGAACGAGGGGCACCGACGTGAAGATGAGCTCGCCCACCTCAACGTCGCGGTTTGTGTACAGGCCCGAGCCGGCATTGAGGATTGGCGACTGCTTGATGCTGAGCGAGCCTGCGGGAGCCTGGACGTTGTCGAGGATGTATTTGCCCAGCTGCTTGTCCTCGTGGAGGGGCCAGCGCGGCATTGGGCCGTCGGGTTTGGCATCAGTCGGGCCCGTCTTTCTGACGCCGGCGGCGAAGATCTTTTCCAGGGGATTCATGGTGCTGCTGTCTGCTGGAGAGATCTGATGGGTTTGAAGAGAAGGAGACGTGTATGGTGGTGTGGCTGCCTCTGGGTGCCCAGCTGAATGCCTCGAAGCAAAGCGGGATGCCCACGTATTTGTACGAAACGGCCTGGAATTGGGGGTGGGTTGGAAGAGAAAAGGCAATGAGAAGGAACAGAAGAGAAAAGAAGCCGTTATGCAAGGGGTTGGCCACCCAGCAAGTCGTTACATGGAGGGCTGAGCTCAGATGACTTTTGAGGTCGCACAAGAAGTGGCTTGTATGTCACGGATGGTGTGGTTTGACAAGGCCTGACCTTTTCGTAGATGCAAGCAGGTGGGTGGTTAGTCCCTTGGGTACGGTAGGTACATGTATGGGAGAGAGAGGGAAAGTTGGCAGGCAAGGGGAAAAGTAATTGCCGGCAGCTTCCAATCGTTTGTGCCACCCGAGCTGTGCTTTTCATTTGAGGGAGCGCAACAGAACGGCAGGACAAGGAGATTAATTGGTGGACAACTGATGTCGAAATCATTGCATAGGTATTGGATGAATGGATGATTGGAGAGAGAGAAAGGAAGAAAGAGAAAGAGAATCTCTGGCTGGATGTCTGATTGTTTGCTGCCGAGTTCAGCTTCGAGCCACTTTATCAGGGATTGTCTCAGCCCCGAGCTGCACTTTGTCGAGAGGTGAATTTGGCATGTGGGAGACGGGGCTGCAGGCCGTTGCTTTGTATCTGGCTGACATTCTGAATATTCGATACTGTATTCTTCTGCTGCTTCCTCTTGATCCTTCTCCTGTGTCTGAAGCACCTGTTGATGGACAGTGACACCCTCAGATCTACCTTATATCGACTCACGAAGAGGTGCTTTATCGTTATCTCGACCAGCATGACACAGCTGCTACCAGCTACCTAGTAGTAGGTACTACCAGGCTTGTACTGTACAGCACTTACAAGGGGCGGCGTCCCCTGGAACTCCGCTACGGCTCAGTGGTGCAACTCGAGGATTGCCGCTCTAGGGAGGTTGCACAGGGACCTGGCCAGCCTAGAGGTACCAAACCTGCTCACGAGTACCGTCAAGTCCCCAAGCCTATACACAGTCGCTCGCAGCTACCCGCAGATACTGGCCCATCCCCCACGGTACGCACGTCTCTTTGATGGCGCCAGCTGCCGTGTGATCCACCCCACCGCCTTATGCAGTATAACCTTCGCGCGTCAGGGGGGTTTTCTGTAAGGGGTGAATTAACCATTCCTAGGGGGTGTAATAGTTATAAGCTAGCAAGGTCTAATATCAGGGTATAATGCAGAGCGGGTTAGGCTGTAGTAATCCTAATAGCTGGTTATAATAGTTACTGGCATATGCAGATTTATTATACTATAAGAATTTATGCATAAAAGCAGTATTAAGCAGTTATAGTAATGCTATTATTATAAAGGTAATAAGCGCTATAATAGTTATAAGCGCATAATCCTGCTGCAAGGGTTTTATTATAGTAAGGGTAATTACCCTAGTAGCTATAATTTTATAAAGACTATATTTATACTTAAAAACTATTATACTAGTAAAAAATAGTTATAAGAAAAAAATACTTATAAGCTATTAATAATTTTTACTTATATAAAAATAATAACTAGATTATAAAATAGTTTTTTATATAAAAATACTATTACTAAAATTATACTATTATACCTTATTTATATTAAAGTATTTAGTTATACTATATACTATAAAGCTATTAGTAATATTTATATTAATAATTATACTATTTATATTACTAGTGTTAGTAATAAATATTAAGATATCTTTATACTATCTAGGTATAGTATTACTAGCCTATAACTATTTTATTATCCTTCTTAACCTTAATATAAAGTAATATTAGTAATAGCAGTATATATAATTCTTATTTTATATTATAATTTTACTAGCTATTATTAGCACTGCTATTATAATAATAATCTCTTATAATATACTTAGTTTAAGCTTGCTTATATATTTACTAAAGCTTGCATTATCTAACTATTAATAGAATTTAATATAACTTTAAACTATTATGCCTTATAGTTAGTTTATATTAAAGTTTTTTAATATATATAAGGAGAGGCGCACTAGTTTTATAGTTAAATATACTCCTAAGTCTTAACTTAAATTAAAATCTTATAATAACTTTATATCTTTTTATAATAGCTGCTAATATAATATAATAGGCATAAAATATAAAAATTTCCTAAATTAGCAAGAGGTAATAGTTAGTATAAATAAAAGCATAAATATATAAAAAACTTAACCTGCTAGTTTTTTACTTAATGCACTTACTAGTTATATAAAAATAAGCAGCTAAAGCTTTTACTAAATTAAAGCTAAAATATAAAATTATAATATTAATTTTTAATATTAAGAAAAATTATAATATTAAAAAATTTATAAAAAGCGCCTATAAGATAACTTAATTAATTTATTTTAATATAAAAAGTATAAAAGTGTTATCTTTATAAGTATTTAATCTTATTAAATAGCTATATTTACTAAAATACTATATAGATTAGTTATAAGCTTATAAATAATATTTATAAATATAAGGGATAAAAAGACTACTTACTTTAAGGTCCTGCAGTATGCAGGCATATTTATAGCATTAATATAATATATCTTTTAATATATTTTAGTAGCTGTGTATAAAGATATTAGTTACTTAATTTTAAGTTACTAAGCCTAGTAAAAAGCTATAAATAGGAGATACTAGTATTCCCTGCTTTAATAAGGATATAAAATGCTAAAGAGTATAAAGATAGTAGTAGAGTTTATTTTTATATAAATATAATATTAAAGCAGTATAGTATAAATGCAGTCTAGAACCTAAAATATTAGTATAGCATTATATATATTAAGGGTATATTAACTTCCTTTTATATTAGTATTATACTTACCCTTTAGCTTTTAAAAGTAGATTCTTATTAAAGTAATCTTTTTTATTCTGTATTACTTTAAGCTGTTTTTTACTTACTAATAAAGCTAGCTATAGACAGCAGCTGCTTAAATGCTTTAGTATTATATATAATTAGTAAAATATAAAAATATATATATCTTATAAGGATATACTTACCTCTAGATATAATTATAGTATTATATATATATTTAATCTTTTTTAATAACTATAAGTAAGAAAAGGTATATATAAAAGTAAGAACTAATATATAGCTTTTAAGTTACTTATAGTAATGCCTTTAGCAGGTAGTTCTAAAAGTAAAAGCTTATATTAGCATACTTTAAAGCGCATTTTAATACCTCTTACTTCCTTTTTATATTCTTTTTAAAACAGTAATTAAATTTTAATAAAAATAGGTGCCTATTACTAGGCTAGTATAATAAAATATAAAGATATTAAACTTTATGCTTTACTATAATAGCAACTTAGCATTTACACTATATATATTAAAATATAAAATATAAGTAAGGCAGGTGCTTTTAAAGGTATAGTATATTAAGTCTTATAAGGTTTAATAAAAAAAGAAGTTTTTATAATAAAAATAATATCTAAATATTATATTAAAGTAGTTAGGCATAGATAGCTAGATGCAGAATAATTAAATGTAAAATAACTAAGGAGAAAGATAGGTTAAGTAAGAAAAAAAAAGAATAATAATATACTTAGTATAAGAGGTTTATTAAGGCTGTGGTTATAGTAAATAGGATTATAAGCACCTGCTTTTTTTTTAGCAGATGCTAGTATTTATTACTACTAGTAGCTTATATATTAAAAGCATTTACTAGCTAGCAGTATTATACTAGTAATACCCTTTTACTAAGAATTATAATATGCTTACTTTATTAAATAGATTAAAGGTTAATCTGCTTAATATAAGATATAAATTTATATTTTATTTTAATAGTATATAATTTTAAGGGTATAGTCTTTAGCCTATAGCTAATATTTTTACTAGCTAAGCTAGCACCTTTTTTTATATAATAAAATCCTAGTATAAAAAATCCTCCCTTTACTACCTTTTATATAAAATAAATATTAAAATTAAGGAAAAGGATGCTTTTATTATAGTATAGCACTATTTACACCTTACTGCTATTAATTTATAGCAGACTAATAATTATTTATTACCCTATTATTTTAAAGATAAGGCACTTTAAAATAAACTCCTTTATCTCTTTTTTTATTTTTTTAAAGGTAAAATCTATTATAGTAAATAAGGACTTACTTATAACTTATAAGTATATAAAGAGCTTAAGTAGCTTAGTATACTATATATTACTATTCTGCTATATATATATAAAGTTACTAATTATAAAATATACTTACTTCTAGTTTTTATAAAATATTAGTAATTATATATTTTATATAAAGGATTTAAATAAGCTAATATAGGTATAAAAGTAACTTTTTTATATTACTAAATCTTAAAGTTTTTTAAGTAAAATAAAGCTTTTTTATTATATATATTATAGTAAGCTCCCTTAAGCTACTATAGAAAGTTATAATTATTAAGGAGCTAGAGAAGCTTCTTAATAATAAAGAAGTTATAGTTATTTATTAATAAAATGTCTTTTACTTATATATAATTTAGTATATAAAGATTTTAATACTTAATATCTGCATAAAGCTTTAAGGATAAAATATTCTTATCCTTATTTTTATTTTCTCTAGCTATTATATTTATACTTTAGGCAAGTGTAAGGCACTTTTTATATAGCTTTAAAAACTAACTCTAGATCTTAAAATACTATAGAAAATAGTTTTATAAAAGAAGCAAGATTATAAAGTAAATATTTTCTTATTAAATTAATATTACAGCAGTATTTTAAGAGTTTATAAAAAGAATATTTAATTTATATTCCTTATATAAATAACCTATAATTAACTAGCTAACTTAATAAAAAATAATTTTATATTTTATTAAGATTTACTTACTTATATTTATCCTTTTTTAAAAGAGTAAATACTATTTTATAACCTTTATATTCTTTTATAACTTTTATATAATAAAGACTAA